TTCTCTGAAACCTAAAGAATTATGGATTTGATCAACTGGTCCCTTAACGAAATTTAAAACCCTATTGAGAAGCCTATCCTGCAGCATTGTCCTGCAGACGTTTGCTGCCAGATACTCAATGGTCAGTTGCTTTATGTGCCTTGTGACACTGTCGATGGAGGACATTGAATGACATCTACCTATTCGGAACCATGATAACAGAGTTCTGGCTGATCGGACCTGGCTCAGACCTGGCTTATCAAAGAACAAAGGAAGTAGCTACAGCTGTTTAAAGCCCCACAAGGCTGGCCGTCATTTTGACGATGATTACTCAGACTGTGTTTATTGAACGCAATATGGATACGATCTCGGAGAAGCTCATGGCTCTTCAACGGGAATTGATAGACTTGGTGACCAGTGATGGACATTAGACAAACTGCGAAATTGGAAGGCAGTTGTTTGTACTAACCCAAACAACCATTTTCTTCACTCATGCGGCTCCAGAACAATAAATTCTTCTCCCTGATAACGGGACCGTGTTTTGACTCGAACCCCATCCACGTGCATCGACGGAAGAACTGTTGAATTTGACTTAATTGGGTGAAGGGACACCTTCTCTCAGTTGAACATGGGACGCACACACACATACGCATGTACACTGACACAGACCCCCCAGCCCCCAGCCCCCACCCTCCACCTTCAAACGCCTCCAATGCATGTCTTCTATGTTGTGGGATGTGATGATTCATATCCTGTGTGTTGAGGTGTTTTTTTTTCTGTTCTCCCAGATTAATCTCCCTTTAGGAGCTCAGTCTTGGTGGAGTTCTTTTTTTCTCCTCGTCTTTCCTCATATTGTGTATTTCCATTGTTCTACCTCTCCGACCTGCCTTCCCCATGTGATGTCTGTATGTACAGTCAGAAGCGTAAGATGGAGATGGTTGCCTGCAACCTTAACCCAGTTTCCTTTGGGATCAATACTAATAGTGACACTGGCCCTAGCAAAATGCAAAACTAGTGAACAAACAGTCTGAAACAATGAGGCCTCGACATGTAAAATCATTCCTGTCTTGGGGTTTATCCCATTATTGCACATTACAGTCTACCTGTTGTTAATTTCAGAAATACAAAAGCAGCTGAAAATTATTAACCCCTCCTGTTACTTAAATGACCCGATAAATATCCCAGACGTTTAATTGACTTGATGCTTTACTCAAATTATTATGTGTTCTTTTGACTTTTTTGAACAGTGTATATATGATAACTGATTTTATTATGCTTGATGTAGCAGTTGCTTTGTACAATTATTTTTTAAAAGTTTTATACTTCTCTTCTTTGTCTAAACAAACACATGAATAAGCTCTTTCTGTCAGTTTTATTCAGCCTCGGTGACTGAGTACATGATGATAATGACAGTTATGGCTTTTCTTGCAAATCATGATTTATATTATGAGAACATTTTTTGTGCACAAAACAAAAATATTTTTGTAATGTACATTTATAAATAAAAGTCTCACACTCCATGTGTATCAATTCCTTCCATCTGTAAGACATCTAACATGGGTGATAATTTACCATTAATAAATCACCACAAACAGGATGCAAAAATTATTAATATAATTTTTACCAGAGAATGGAAATGTTTATATACTAAATAATTCACAGATAAAAGACAGCAGTCCTGAAAAGACCTACAATAATGTCTCAAAAACTCTATCCCGGGAGCCCGCGCCATGGCCATCTGAGACAAAGTTTTTAACAGTTCATCAGGAAGCACAGGCCCATCCAGGAAAGTCTTGTCAGAGTCAGAGATTTGAGGAATCTCTGACAGGAGAAAGTCACTGTCGATTTGTTCTGCTTTAAGTAATTCAAAGTAAAACTATACCCGATCCTCGCACATATCCTCTGCAATTATTCTCCCAGTGGCAAGATTTAGGCAGTGCATGGTCTTCCTCTCAGCCACTCTCTTTTCAAGGACAAAGAAAAAGGATGTATCTATTCCTTTGAACACATTGGTTC